GGGATCCCGGGCGTGCAAGGCGAGGACCTTTAACCACTTGCACCACTGCTCCGGGCCCTATACTGATAATCTTAATTGTGTTTACATTTCAGTGCTGTGACTAGCTTTTTTTTTTTTTTTTTTTAAAGATATATTTTATTTTTATCGGAAAGGCAGATATACAGAGAGGAGAGACAGAGAGGAAGATCTTCCGTCCAATGATTCACTCCCCAAGTGAGCGCAACGGCTGATGCTATGCCGATCCGAAGCCAGGAGCCTCTTCCGGGTCTTCTGGGTCTCCCATACGGGTGCAGGGTCCCAAAGCTTTGGGCTGTCCTCGACTGCTTTCCCAGGCCACAGGCAGGGAGCTGGAAGGGAAGCGGGGCTGCCGGGATTAGAACCGGCGCCCATATGGGATCCTAGGCGTGCAAGGCGAGGACCTTAACCACTGCGCCACCGCGCTGGGCCCGTGACTAGCTTTTAAGGGGTAGGCTTTAAAACATTCTTAATTCTGAGGCTTATTGATTAAAATTGGGAGAGGGGAGAGAGGAAAAAAAAAAAAACCTTTCAGATAAATTTGGCCCCATCGGGGTCTGGTTGTAAGCTGCAGATGCTCTGAATCCAAGGCATTGTGCTTCTGAGTCGCGTTTGTGGACACTGAAAGGACATTTCACCCACACAGTCCCGGCCTGCTATTTGGGAGCTACAGCCGAGCTGAGTTTTCCATCTAATGTTTCCCTACTTCACTTTATAAGGAAACTCATGTTCAAACTGAGGGTAGCCCCACTTTCAATGCCAGCATGGTTTGCGTTTCCACAATGTCTGAGATTTTCCTAACCACTCTCTCTCTCTCTCTCTCTCTCTTTCTCTCTTTCTCTCATTTTTTGTATTAAAACGTTCTTTTGGCGGGCTCAGGACCTGATTCCTGCCAGCCTATTGCTCTTCTGATTATTGACTGAGAAGCTGAGCTTTGAAAGCTGAGAATCTAAAAAGGCATGGCAGCCCAGCCAAGCTACTAATAGGGTAAGAGACACACGCGACCCCCGTGGGAAGGCCTGTGTGAAGTGGGGGTGTGCCTGGGAGCCACCACCCACTGCCCCATGCCTGCTTTTCCCAAGCATTCAGAGGCCATCTCCTGTCACGTTGTTTGGGGGTGCTCCTGGCTGCCACATCTGAAGGGCAGAAGGCTTCAGGTCACGTGGTTGCCTTAGGTAACAGAGACCTGTGCCCCCAAATCGGGGTACCCTAGATGCAAACTGCTGCTGAAACATGGATCCTGGGACTAGGTTTAGAGCCAGCACTTTTTTTCCCCCCTTCAAACATCCCATGAAACCATTTTGTAAGATGCTTTTTTTTTTTCCCCGTAAGGCCCATTTTCCGAGTCCTCTTTGGATGATGCCAATTCTCTAATGAGAGAGTTGCGACGTCCTGAACCTCTCAGCCTGAGGGATAGGAAAATGACTCCCCAGTCAGCAGGTGTCTGCAGTGCAGAAAGCACAAAGGGTTCACTGCACCAGGGTCCTCGCCTGCTGGTGGCCTCTTGGCTGCTACCTCCAAGAATCATGGCCCTACGGGAGGGAGGTGGCTCTTGGATGCTGTCAGGTGCCATGGCATCCTGAAGTGACATATGGGCAGCCTCCAGAGACAGCAGCAGGAAAAGCCTGGGGAGCTGGCACACAGGCATTCCTACTCGCAAAGAAAGGGAGGGGACTGGAGTCAGCTTTTCCTAACATTGAGTTCTACTGCCTGCCCTTCCCTCCGCATTGAGTATTCATGAAAGGACAAAATGTTTCTTCATGTTCCATTCTTGGGAAATTCTTCCTTCTTGTTCCTGGAAAGGAAGCCAGCTTGTACCTGATGACAGGGGAGGAGGTACTCATTTGCCTCTTAGGACTGAGACAACACCCACAATGAACTGTTAGCATTAAGGAAACTCAGGAATCCCCAAACCTCAGGGGAGCCTCAGGCTCTGCTTAAACACTTCAGAGTTGTTGCTTAGGCACCCAAGTGTCAGTCACTTCCGCCCCTGAGAGCAAGCCCAGCTTCGTCATTTCACAGTTGGCTGCCGTGGAACAAGTTCTAGGAGTTAGCCCCCGACCGCCAGCTTGCCCCTCACCTGCAACACCTGCCACTCCTGCCAGATGAACGTGGCAGCTGCAGGCAGGTGCTGGGGGCATCTCTGCCTGCTCCATGCACTCCATGTTCCACGGGCTCTCTTTGGTGCTCGCTCCATTCTTGGGGTCCAGTGTCCAGATTGAGGAGGGTGGAATCTGATCCCTTTCTTTGGGGTCAGTCCTGAAGATTCTGAAGGCCAAGAATCGGTTTTCAAAGTCTTTGTTCAATTGTGTTCTATGACTTATGTTATTGGATCTGTAGGAGACTGCCTCTCCATTTGCCAAGTCTTCCCATTGGATGAATATCTGCATAATCTATTGTTTCGCTTCAGCAATGAAATTGCTGAAATTGGAACAACTCTTTTTTTCCCTCCCTCTCTTTTCTCTATGAAGTGTCCAATGTTACTGGCTGGGCTTGCAGGGTTGTCCTCTGTCTCGGGAGCATCTAGTCCCTGTCGTTCCTAGGCAAAGACTGACAGACAACAGTCCTCAACACGGAAAGACTTGGCTAGCCACGTTCAAAGGACTTGCTAAGCAAGTCCAAGCACACAGTACTGAGCGTGGCGCCCTGCATAGAGACAGTGTTTTGTAGTGCAGAACAGTCAGAACTCTGGAAACAAACAAACAAAAAAGTAGCTGTGTTTTCTCCCCTGTTACATGAGGGATGCTATCATTTCACGATGATCAGAAACAGCTAACCAGGCAGGCTGACCAGAAGAGGCCGAAGTGTGTGTGAGTGTGTGTGTGTGTGTGTGTGTGTGTGTGTGTGAGAGAGAGAGAGATGGGCTAGGAATTTTCACTATAAATCCTAAGGTGACAGATCCACCTGCTTCCTCCTAAAATCTAAATCAAGTGCTGCCTGGATGCCCAGGGAGAGGAGATGGAAGGCATGACTGTCATTGCATTCGGGGCAGGCCCACAGAGGATACCACTGGGTACCGCTACATCTTGTCCTTGCTTCACCAAGTGCCCGTGTTCTCCTTGTTAGCAGGATTTTGGTCTTATGCTCCCTGGATTCCTCCATGAAATACTGTGCAACATGCTCACAGTGCCCAAGGATTATCTCCTAGTCTGTGCTGCCAGCTCCACGTAAGGTAGATGGGCAGGTTTTCCCGTTCCCTGCCTGCCTGATGGACTTGGAAGCAGAACAGTCTCATCCGCAGAGTCCTGGAATAAGTTCATCTTCCCTTAGAAACAGGGCCCTGGTTACATTGTTTGGGGAGTCCTCAAAAAGTTCCTGGTAGCCTGGAATGAAAGGATGTTTGTTCTGGTGAAGAAACAAAATATGGAAACCCTGCGTGTATTTTGTATTTCATGACACTCATTTTCTGCTAGCTTTTTGGAGCTGCCTCGCAAGCATGGTGTTTTATTGGGTTTTTTTCCTCCTAAATAAACTGACCTTTGACCTCCACGGCCCAGAACTTCTGGGAATACCTCAGTGCTATGGTCACATGGAGATTCTCCTGCTCTGGGCTTCTTTAAGACTCATGGGGCTTGGCCCAGGAAGGGATGTGCTGTTCCGCTAGCCCTGGGAGAAGGAGGGGAGAGGCCTGCCTGCAGAGATCCAACTGCGGGAGGCAGAAACAAGGGAAGAGAAGATGGTTTTGCAAAGGCACTGCCTGCCAAAGTCACTGCTGTGTGGATGACAACGAGGATGTTGGAGGCAGGGACCAAGCCCTGACTGCTGTTGGAGTATGACAGCCTCAACCGCTGTTGCTGGGCTGCATTGGTGAGCTGTCCCCACCCCTCCACACGCCTCCCTCCAGTGTTCAGGGGTGTTTTTCTCATCTGATTCTCAAAAGAGCTAACCAGAGAACTCTAATCCAGGTCGAGATCTCGCTCTCGGGCCACAGTTGCTAAGCACAGTGGTTGGGATACCTACATGCCGCATGAGGTGGAGGAGGGGGCCTGGTTCAAGCCCTGCTCTGCTCTGGACCCCAGCTTCCTGATTATAATGTGTCCCTGAGAGGCGACAGATGATGCCTCAGGACTCGAGCCCCTGCCGCCCACGCGGGAGACCTGGACTGATTTCCGAGTTCCTGGTTTGGGCCTGGCCCAGCCCCCGTTGTGGGCAGACATTTGCGAATAAACCAACACATGAACAATCTCTCTTTTTCTGCATTTCAAAGAAATAAAGGGTTTTTTTTTTTTAAGAGAAACTTTAAAAGATGAAAAAGACCCTGTCTCCATCTTTATGTTTTTGTAGTGTTGGGAAAGGTTTGTGTGCAGAGTGCAGAAATGGAAAGTGAGGGAGTGAGATCGTATCCCCAGTTGCACCTGCTACAGCAGTGGTGTGGCACGGGGCGGGCTTGCAAGCCTGAAGACCACTCCCCTGCTCTTCTGATATCCCAGGATGCTCTGCGTTGCCAGCAGAGGGGGGGGTCAGTTGCTAATGAACTCCATGGAGGGATGTGCCTGCAGGTTTCTCTTACAGTGAAGGTGTGATGCCTGTGGAATCCTGAGCCAGAGCCGCCCTCCAGATGTTCTAGAAACCCCATTGTTTTGTAGTTTGAGCAAAGCGACTCTCAGATAGCAGGGAGCTTCATCACCTGTCTGGAGTCACCGTGCAGGTGAGTGGTCTGCAAAAGCCAGATCCCAGCGTGTCTTCTCCAGCCTGTAGGCTGGTCGGTATAGTAAGGCCCAATTTTTTCCTGGCAGATGGCGCTAAGGTTTCTGAATATCTGCAAAAGTCTTTGGAGTTATTGTCTAACTGCTGCTCCTTAGAAGGCAAAAAAAAAAAAAATTTGTCATCTTAATATAAAATGCCATATCTTCATAAACAAAAATTATCCACCATTTGTCTTGATGATCATTTATTCCTGGTCACAATGGTGAAACTCTTGAGATCAAAACCAAAAAAAAAAAGCGGGAGAAAAAAAATAATTGAATATTTGCTTCTCTTTACAGACACGCCAGAAAATGGATCCAATAAGGGTGACAGGTGAGCAAGATGTCTTTCTTTGCCGTTTGTGCTTCGTCCAGGCTGACAGTGTCTGGGCGATCCATGAGGAGTCTGATGGTTTTCCTCTCTGTTGTGCTTCAATCCAGCGCAGCCAACAGGACGCGACCCAACAAGGACGACACATACTGGAAGGAGATCAACGCAGCCATGGCCCTGACCAACCTGGCCCAGGGAAAGGACAGCGCGCAGGGGACTGCCAGCTGCATTATCCAGAAGTCATCGCACATCGCGGAGGTCAAGACTGTGCGAGTCCCGCTGGGGCCCGTGCTGCCGTTCTGAGGGCCTCAGCCCCTGTGGTCTGGCCGCCTTCATCCCGAAGAGCCCAGTGACTCTCTAGAAAAAAACCTCTTTTTGTTTTTCATTTCCTAAATATATCGTTCTGTTGCTTCTGTAAAAGACATATAAGTTATAAAAAAAAACCCTCCTTTTAATTGAAAGTATTAATTTATGTTACTCAAACTATGCATAAAACGTCTGTGCTACCGTTCCAGTAAGTGCCTTGCTGCCTCGTCCCAGATGCCAACTGCGTATGCTTTTTGTCTGTGTGCGTCAGCCCAGACAGACCTCGCACTGTCAAGAGTGCCGAAAACCCTTGGGATATTCACGACAGCTTGGAAATCTGGGCAGCCCATGGGAAAACGCCCGTCCTGGAAGACTTCCACGCTGTTGGGAAACGCTCCTCCACATGCCTTGCTGAGTGACAGGCAGGGAGAATTTGATGCATGTATGGGGCCCATGATTCTGACAGGTTGCGGATTTCCAAGATGACGGTTACGTGGTGTGTGCCTCTGAGAAGCGATGCCTTCAGCCGAATGTACAACAGCACGGGGGACTTTGTGACCACAGCGTGCTGTGGAATTAATTTGGATTTTTCACTTTCTCAGGTTTGGCTGAAGTTTTTGAAAAAAACAAAAACAAAACAAAGCCGAACGTTTTCATTGTAAAACCAAACACGAGAGTTTAATTTTTAACGCTGTAATCTTGTTTGCATTGGAATTCTGTGGGGTTTTTTTTGTTTTTGTTTTTGTATTTTTTTTTTTTTGATGAAGGAAACTTTTTTTCATATGAAATGGCTAAGAACTTTCTCGTTTGGTTCAGTTCAAATTGAAACTGCTGATGGACAATTTGTATTGCCAGGAGAACAAGACAATGAAAGAAACGCATCTCTAGGCCAATAGTCATATACGTGCATACAATTGGTTTTTACATTTAAAACATACGGAAAGCAAAACTTGGAGCGGCCTCTGAATTTTGCCAGCTAGGACACGGAAGTGGAACTTGAGTGAAATCATGCATTCGAAGAATGAGCGTTTTGTTTCTAAATTAGACTACGAGTAAGAAGCGTCAGTGCCCACAGAAGGGGATCTTTGCCAGTCAAATGATAACATTCTGATCAGCTCGGCAAGACTTGAAACCTAAACAGTGGCGACGCCAACTAGAACAGCGTGTATGCGCTGCAGAAATAGAAAAAAAGGATTTGATTTTTTTAGAGTGAGTTTTTTTTTTTTTTCTGGGTCGGGCATCTATTTTGAATTACAAAAAAAAAAAAACCTGAAAAATGTTTTTTGTTGAGTGTGAAAGAGGAACCGGTGGTGCGGGCCTGGTGACATTTTTTTGGTAGCAAAATTTTTCAAACCAAAGGTTGCTCTAGTTAACGTCTGGACAATGTCATTCTGATATGCATCGTAGGTCACTTTGTCTTGTAACATAGCCTTTGGGGGTTGAGTTTATTTAGTGTCATGAAGATAATTTGATATAAAATATTTTGTACATATATATTTTGACTTTTTTTCTAAATGGCTGTTTGCAGTGACAGTCAATGCAAAGCAAGATACGTAAGTTATGACTGTATGATGAGATGTGAAGTATGCGTTTTTGGTTTATATTCCTTAAATAATTAGACGTTAATGGTGGAAAAAAAAAAAAGCTTGGAAATCTTTGCCAAACAATTTTTCCAAACGTGTGGGCATGCTCACGACGACTAAGGACAAATACTTCACTCTTTTTCATACTATTGTAAGTTATTCTGGTATTAAGTATTTTAATAAAAGTGTTTTTTTCTAACATATTTCCGTTAGATGAATGATTGCTGTTTGTAGTTTATTAGAATTAGTCATGGTTCATTTTTGTCATCTTTTACCAAAAAAAAAAAAAAAAGAAAGAAAAAGAAACAAAATGTGTTTTGTGTCACACACTAGCACAGACGGGCAGTGTAGGACCACAACTCAGATGAATTCGGTTTTTAAATGCCAAAGCATGGAGTCTGGCCTAGAAACACATCGAAGAAGATTTTATAATTAGCACATCCTTGGCGATTTCTGCCATTGAAATTACTTTTAATTTATTTTATCTTTTTGCTGCTTTGGACATTTTTTTTTTTTTTTAATTCCCAGTCCTTTCAAAGAATCTTGCGTGATGCTGAGTCAGCAGCCAAGGCTTTAATTTGTTTTTTTTTATGTGGTAGACAAAGAGAATGACCGCTCTCCCTGGTTTTGCCAAATGTAATCATGCTAATAAAATGAAGACATGCCAAGAGTTCTTGACAAGTTGGAAATAAAAGTTCATTCCTAGACCACAATGGCCCTCTGGATTTTTGGATTTTGTTTTCCTTTGGGATAGCAGTGAGTTGGGGAAAGCTGTGGGACACGGGGGAGGGGGGGTTTGTTTGCTCCTATCCCCCTTGGTGGGAGAGGTGTGGGATAAGGCGAGGTCTGGACCATACTGGGTTAGAATTTCATCACCTGAGACCAACAAACATTGCCTTGGAGGGCCTAGGAACACTTGATGCAACTACTAAAATGCACAACTTTAAAATGAACATGCTTGCATTTTCCTCTCAGAAACAGATACAGTAGGCGTCCTCGCCAGTACGTCTGGTATTGGAGAGAAACCTTTGGCTTTGAACTAGACAGATTACCTGGGGAGTCTGTTGCAAATTTGAGACGATAAAGAGTAGAGGAAACACCTACCACAGCCCCCTGGCAGATACAGGTGCTCAGTAAGTGGTTGGTAGTATCAATAATTACAGCTCCTGTATACAAGAATTATGTACCAGAAAGATATAAAGTGGAATAGGAGACACGAGCCATTTATTTTACGCTTTTAAAAAAGATGCATTTATTTGGGAGACAGAGGGACAGAGAAATGGGGGTGGGGGGAAGAGAGAGATCTTTCATTAATGGGTTCAGTCACCTCATCCAACAGCCCAGTCTGATCCAGGCCAAAGGCAGGAGCCCTGAGCATCCTAAGGTTCTCCCAGGTGGGTGGCAGGGCCTGAAGCACTTGAGCCGCAGCTGGTGCTTCCCAGGCACATCCGTGAGGAGCTGGCTGAGACACAGTGTTGCTGCAACTTGGACTGGTTTGCAGGTGTCCAAAGGGTGGTTGAACCTTCTGTACTACAGTGTCTGCCCCAACCGTGAGTCATTTAATGGGGTGCCTGGGGAAGGTGAAACGGTGAAAGCTCCAGTTAGGGTGTACTCTGAGGAAGGCCATTTTATTGCCATCATTTTGAACTTCCTGGAGGAAGCGTAAAGTAACAGCAAATGTTAAGGGCAGATGGACTGATAGAAAACACAGCGCATTCAGTAACTTCCTTCATTTGGATAAACAATTTCCTCTGCTTTGTCCTGCTTGGTGTTGTGGATGACTATTAAGAAGCTCAAACTGCCATCTGTATTTTCTGCCTGCTCCAAGTAGCAGTGTTTAGCAAACAGTGGCAACAGCCGTGGTCTGCTTTTAAACTCCTCCAGCTCCGTGCAAATAAACACAGCGTGTGAGAGTGAGCCGACCAGACGCTAGTGGAGATGGGCCATGTGGAACGCAGTGTAGAGTGCTGCTGCTCTCTTTACAGATTTTAGTCATCCATGCCCAGCATTTGCATCAATAAAATTTGTCTCTTGGAAGAAGACCTTCTCCAGGATCTGGCTGGAGTTCCAGCAGGACAACGTGTAAGAGTGCTTTGCATGCTGCGTGTGGCACTGTGCCAGCAGTCACAATGAAGGTGCCACAGCACGTCAAAAGGCCCCGTGGCCTGCCCTTCCTGGTCCTCTGAACTAGGGCTTCTGGGCAGGCTGTAAGCCCTGCAGCATTGTCAGATATGTGTCCTGGTCTACCCTTTGGAAATCGAAGTCCCAAGGGTGTGACGGTCCTATACTTTGTCACATTTAGGGATAGATTTCAGATCCACCCACTTTGTCTTTGACATTTTGAGACCAGTCTTGAAGATGGACTGAAAATTTGGGTATTGGCCACAGTCATTACTCATTTTAAAAGGAAAAATTAGACAATGGGGTTTTATCTCTGTTGGTCTGCTTCCTATGGGCTAGGTCATAAGGAACCAGAAGCCTGGGATTCCATCCAAGCCTCCAACACAGATGGCAGGGGCCAAGGACTTCATCCATCTCTGCTTTCCCATTGGTATCAGCAGAGAGCTGGACTGGAAGCAGAGCCATTGCGACTCAGACTAGTACCCATGTGAGATGTCGGTGTTACAGTCGGTAGCTTAACTTGGGCCCTGTGCAGGTCCCAAAGCACTTTTTGCTTTTGAGATAAGAATATTGGTGAGTTTGCAGCAACAAGCTGATGCGTTCTAACCATCAGAAATGTCACTTAACATTAGTTGTAGAAAAATTCAACAGTGCTGAAGAGTGGTGTGTGTAGACGAGGCCCCTGGATGTGCATGGCAGGGAACACACACAGGTGTGTGTGTGTAGGGGAGACCCCTGCATGTGTAGGCCTGGGCACACTCACAGGTGTATGTATGTGTGTGTGTGTGTGTGTGTGTGTGTGTAGGGGAGGCCCCTGCATGTGTAGGCCTGGGCACACTCACAGGTGTGTGTGTGTGTGTGTGTGTGTGTGTGTGTGTGTGTGTGTGTGTGTGTGTGTAGGGGAGGCCCTTGCATGTGTAGGCCTGGGCACACTCAGGTGTGTGTGTGCGTGTGTAGGGGAGGCCCCTGCATGTGTAGGCCTGGGCACACTCACAGGTGTGTGTGTGTGTGTGTGTGTGTGTGTGTGTGTGTAGGGGAGGCCCTTGCATGTGTAGGCCTGGGCACACTCAGGTGTGTGTGTGTGTGTGTGTGTGTGTGTGTGTGTGTGTGTGTGTGTGTGTAGGGGAGGCCCTTGCATGTGTAGGCCTGGGCACACTCACAGGTGTGTGTGTGTGTGTGTGTGTGTGTGTGTGTGTGTGTATAGGGGAGGCCCCTGCACGTGCGGGGCTGGGCGCACTCACAGGTGTGTGGGGGAGATTGTAGTGTAAAGCAGTGGGATTCCATGTATCAGGG